TATAAGTGCTCGTTTCCTAGGGTGTTATTATTGTGTTTAGCACGATACAATCCTGATACGCAAAGTTTAGAAAAGATAGACATTTTTACAAAAAGATTTTATGTTTAAATTGTTGTATATTGCCTTTGTTTCTATGTACACATCAATGAGGCTACAAACAAAACTAATTTTATTTTAAGAGCGTCGATTAAAAAAGGTCAACTTGAAACGGATGGAAGACTGATATTTTAAAAATAGCACCTTTCTCAAAGACACGAACACAAACAAATCCTAAATGGGTCGACAGGGGAAATAAGTATATGTTACCGTAACTCCACAATCTTTTTCCATATTTAGGCTTAAATGATAAGTTGGTCCACTTGTTGAAATTCTGCAACGACGCACGATCCATGCTCCGTTATAAATATTTGTGCCGCGATATCGGTATAATGAGATTTACTTATAGGTCCAGTTCGTTGCAAATTAAATGCTACAAATTAGGTGAGCCTGCGATTGAGAAGCGCAAGATATTAGCTTTGTTTATTAAAGTCGTTACTCACTGGTAGAAACATACGCAAAAGTATCAAATCTAACAAAATAAACTCTTCAGGTAGATATGATGGATATCGTTTCAGTTACCCACGCTCATCAATTCCGTCACTAATATCCGCCATATAAAGCCATAAACAACTCTGCGCCACCTGTTCCCATGTCCATCCCTGATCATACAAATATCTAGTATTTTTTTTTCTGGATTACACACCCGATGTTTTTATCATTTCCGGCTTCGGACTGTGTCTGTTTGCACAAGCCGAACGGAACTGTGGACTATTACACATAACCACTGCAATATAATATAAACAAACCGCACCCCTTGCGCCCATTGCGCTGTTCACACAAAGAGCGTCCGATCAAATCTGAAATATATATAGGCTTTTCTATGGTCGGTGGATTGATGTGTTAATCGTCAGTTTCATTTTATTCGGTCAGTATATTCCGCAGTACTGATAGCTAAAGTCTGATCATGTTGTGCCTCCGCCGTGTCATGGGCTACTCTATACGAACAGCCTGAGAGTCTCTGATGAGAAAAAGGGAAATAAGAACTCAACAAGACTAGACCAGATCGCGTGGTTCCGGAATAGTTCTGACGACGCCCTCGACATGGCTACCTCCTTTGTCTGCTCTATTGATGCTTAAAGACCCGTTCGTGTTCGTGCCCCATTCGAGGCAACGAGATACCTGACGATGACATTGATTGAGGTTGATCTTCGGTTTTCTCTTGTGTTCCCTTTACAACGAATGGAAGAGCATTAGGCAGGGGCAGCTACCTGAGTGTACCTTCGGTCCTGTTGCTCTCGGCCTCGTTATGACAGCTAGCAGAGCTGAGCAAAGCTATCCCCCTGCCGCAACTCGAGTTCGTAGCCAACTCGGAACACTCGACAAACAAGGCTTAGTAGTGTTATTTGTCTTTGATTGAGTGCTATTGGCATCGCACTCATTCAAAGAAGGGGACACTATCGGTTTCGTATTGCATGCACTCATATACGGCTAGATCTGCTTGTCTATTGAATTGCCTTGTGCTACATTCAAGGTGAAAGTTTGCATGTTCCTGCTGCAGAACATATGAAGCCTTTCTCGGGAGCGGAACAAAGGTACCCTAATATTGTCCGAGCTCTTTAAAGCGATTTGAACGAAAAGGTATACATTGTTCGGTTTTCGTGATTGTTGCTTCTGTGTAGAACTTCAATCACACATCTAGCGGTTTGTGCTCACAAAGGCTGTTAAAAAAACTGTGTCAAAATGAATTGTCCATAACCTATTGCCATATGAAACCGCATGAATGTGGACTGTTGAATACATGTCAAGTACTTTTTCGACAAAGTAATGATGCAACCAACAATTTAAGTACGATAGTTAGATCATACGGATTAGCTAACAGACGCCACTCAGTGATCATCGCAGGTCTTGTTGTATTCGATGTCTGTGCGATATGTCTTACTTTCTTTTTCTTCGGAAGTTTCTTTAAAATAGAGGGATTTGGGGAAGATCCAGCAATTTGCGCATAGGTGCTTAGCACCGAAGAGGCTTGGCCGCGCTTTAAAAGTGTCCGATTTCTCACCGTAGGTTGCCCTAACGCAGTGTGGACTACATAGATAAATCGAGAAAATCTTAGCTAGGGGTGCTTCTGCTACAGATTATGTGATGTAGGAACCTTGAAGAGTCGGAGGGTTATCAGCAAGCGCAGTTTAATAATCGACTAAGCACGCTCCGTCGTCTGTTGTAGTGCAACTTGCCTTTTTAGCCCGAATTGTCTTTCAACCGTGATCCGACGGAGTATTCCTCGCAGGTCTTTTCATCAGTCGGGCGATTTACTTGAGACGAGCAGCAAAGAAAGAGGAAGAGGTAAGCAACCTAAGAGGCCACCGCGCGGACATCAAGTCTGTGACGGAAATTTTGGGCTTCAATCATTCAGAACTATATGCGACTAGTTGGGTTTCATATAGCGTACCTAGAGATCCTGTGTCGCCGGCGCATCGACTAATATCTCAAGCAACTCGCGCCCAACGGAACCAGAACAAATCTGTGGCAGGGGGGTAAGCGCTTCGTAATTCTGCAGGGCGATTTCATTAGGGAACTAGAGCAGTGAGCCAAAAGATCCTCCACTCACAGTACGCGATTCCTGCTTAATTCCCCCCAATGTCGAGATTTTCATGTCACACTACGCAGAGAAAGCTATGGCCTACCCACAAATTTTCAACACTTGTTAGTAACATCTAAGCTCGCCTTCGAGACCCAGGTTCGCATTGTGCTTGTGGGAATTCATAGGGCGTGAGTGGTGCGGTGAAAAAAATCCTATCAATAACTCGAGGTCAAAACTGCCTCGATCAACTTCCAGGTTTACGCTATCAAACTAAATTGTGTCTATGATGTGTTGAGTACAGATGTTAGCTGTATCGAAGCTGGTAGTTTGCTTAGAAGCATTTTGCGAAAGTTCTTTTTGTTTTTTCAAAACTCTCTCTATCGCGCTCCAAAACTTTCGTTAAACAATTCATTGGTCAATTCAGCGCTACACAACAATCTAAATGGTCAACAATGAATACAAATGTCTGTACCAACTAAACTGACCGGTTTCCTATTCCTTTTATTTCTCATTTACTGCCAAGCCCCGACCAGTCTAGTTTTGTCAATGGAAAAATGGCAAGCAAGGCCATTTGTTATATCTTCGACAACAGGTAGTCGTCCAAATATGGTTTGTTGGCATAGGATTTGTTTATGTGGCTACCTCCGTTTTTGCCACGATCTAAAAAGCTGAAGAGTAAACAAACAAAGAACAAAAGTAACACAGTTATCCGTTTGTCTTTTCTTATAGAAAGGAAAACGCTTTGGTGTAAGCGAGGTGGACTATTAATTTAGGATTTCCAACAGTGCTTCTATGAAGTACACGAGTCTACTAAAGTTTTCTATTAGATGTTAGATCGAGAATAAGCGCAATAATACGTAGGCCTGTTGGCTGTATGAAAACATCTTATAGACCATTATATCTAAATATGTACGGCTCTAATTTGGGCAGGAATACAATAAGTGACAGGTGAAATTATCTGCACCGTGATATTATATTAGTAAAAAAGTTCAGATTGCTTTTGCAGTTATTACAGCATTGTTGTTTTGGTACTGACTCCATTGGGAGAGTTTCTTATGGCCTTATGTGGTTTTAAACATCACCTGGTGCGGCGTGGTCGCCAACATATATTCAAGCACGTATCGTTCAAACCACCGCTCTTCAGCTTCCGAGTAGATTATACTTGGTTACGTTTGCTTATTTTTCTAACTCGAGGAAAGGTAGGCCGGCCTGCTAATCGTCCCGGCGTGTTAGTCATCTTTGTGAAATGGCAAGAAAAGTAATACGCCTCTTGTCACAATGTCCACATTGCCTTCCGCATAGATTTCTCGGTCTTACACACTCCTGAATCCCCTTGCTGCTGCTACTCTCCTCCATTGAGGTTAGAAAAGGAGGCGCTCTTTATGTTCACCTAATCGTTCATTTTGATGTTCTTCGCCGACAAGAATTTGATCAGCATCACTGGACTAGCAGAACAACATAGCTATGCATGACAATCAAGCCAAAGGTAATTGCTTGCTCTTTAAATTACAAGGTCCCATTCCTTCAACAGCCCACCAGATAGACAGAAATCAAATAGGAAAGAGTAAGAAACCACTGTCACAAAGGTCGCTCTTTGACTCGAATTCATACACAGCATTGCCATGTTCTACGATTTTTCGGAAGCTTACAATTCTGACTCTCGAGTCATGCCTAACTTTGCCAAACCGAATTTTTGACAAGCGTTTAATCAGTTGTAAACTATCACAAATTGCCACCAGCTAAAATTAGGAAAGACGATGTGATCTTCCGCAGGTGTTACAATACGTCGCTGCACTTTGCGCGCTAAAAGTGAGAGTGTGCTGCCGACAGACTCAGCGTCGGAAGAGCATGTTAACCAAACCTCGAACTAGATAAACCTGGTATCATCTATATGACGTTGGATGTGAAGGCTACAATTGGAGGGGGGTAAAATACTTTAGTGCAATGTAGTGTTTGTGGGTCACAATTTCCGAACCGGTATAGGATTCGGTATACCAGGTAGAGATTATCAATGAGCAATAACAAATTCATTTGAGGCATATCAAGAGATTCAGGGACAGCTGTGATGACGCGTTGTACCTTGTAAAATGCCGAATTCTATAGCAAAGCCGACACGGTTAACTTATATCATATATATATAATAATAATTTGACTTATATTATAGACAAAAATCGGCAGCTAGAGAATAGAATAACTTCTGAACCAGAATTACTTGTTAGGCTTTGTTTTGCATAATTGATTTTCTCGGCTCGTTATTTAATCACTACTTTATTTTTTGGTAAATTTTCTTGGGCCGTTTTAGCAATCGAGTCAATTTTCGCATGACAGTCAAATGTCTGTGGCTTTTTGTGGCATGGTTTCCTCGTTTGTCTTCCTTTTCTTCGTTGACTGGAAATCGTAACAACTTGTTCGAGAGACTTAGACGTAGCCTCTGTGTAGCAAAATACCCATCGTTCCACTGTAAAGGCCAAACACGGCAAATATAATTTACCGTAATCCCACCAGATAATACGCAGGTATGTGATGTAATTATATGTTGAAACTTAGCACTATATAATACCAAGATAATAATACGGCAATCACGTGTAACGAAAGATATATTTAATACCTGCCAAGTGTACGTACTCGTAGCAAGCGTTTGCAGCGTGATCAGAGAATTTCGTGTGAATTTAAGTGAACTATACTCTATGTATATATATATACATATATATATGAGTCATCGTCGTTATACACATAGTTGTACTTTATATATGTATAAAAAATTAATAAAAAAATAATAAATACTAAAAAAATAAAAATTAAAAATAATTGTTCCCTAAATGATGTTATTCTTGCATTAGCTCTTTCACTTGAAAAGCCCTAGTATTTCGAATTCAACTTCCGCCAGAAAAACATTCATCTCTGAGAGAAACTTCCATTTGAGGGATTTGCATTCCTCAAAACTTTCCATCACGAAGTTGTGATGCATGTACAAAATGAAACGAAACGTTTAACTGTCAGCGATTACATCCAGACAATTGGTACATGTAACGTAACATGATACAAAGTTAAATATATATAGTACCAGATATGGTTTGTCGGTGATATCTTAACGGGTAACGTATTTGTCTCTTAATTTTGGGGACATGTGGTCTGGGTTCGAACTGGACATAGACGCATTGCTTCGTACTGGGAATCAGCCGTCTGACAGAATGCTTAACGGCGATACCGGATGTAAAACTCGAATTCGAGTACTGGATATGATATGCTAGTGAAAATAAAGTATAGGCGAATCCTATAGAATGAGATCACTCTCGTCTCAAGCTACTTACATTACTCCGAAGAGAGCAGGGCAAAGTATGCTATGCTTGACCTTAGACTTCGTTATTGTTTAATGATATAGGTTGTTGGTAACTGCTTGTTTTGTGTGGTGTCACAGTATTTTTTTGCGAGAATTGTAATACTCATATATTAGTCATGTATGTCACATATGACAACTGCAACAATATGGACAGATGGTAGGCAACAAGTATGAACAGCTGACAAGTTAAGCCGTCTTTCAGAAGACCAAAGGTTTCGATTAACGGGAGGCATTAGACTAAAAGAAAAAAGCTACAATGGATACTTCTCGCTTCAGACCTAGCGAAGCCACGAAGTGTTTACGGAAAGGTATTATTATAAGCACGTGAGAAAGTTCGCGTAAACTGAACCTTTTTTCATGCTTTTTTTATACTTGTAGGCTATCGTGCTACTAAACGGAGAGATTATATTGAATTCGCTAGCAGGTTAGCTTAGAGAAATTATTTGAATCCACTAGGAATAGATAAATTTAAAAAAAAATTAGGTCGAAGTACTATAACATGTATGGAAACAATACCCGAATGGCCTTTGGCCTATTTTGGAAGTTATTAACACTGAGTCATCGAATTTCGTCTTAACTCTTCGACACGAGCGATTGATTGTGCCCACTCTATGCTTCGGCTCTTGCTATCGTTACGATTTCGATGATCATGCATAGTATTTCGTCAGCCTCTAGCGGCTACCGCCAAGGGTGGCATGATCTACGAGATTAAGCTTGTATGGATCCCCCTGCTCCCTCTCCGGCCCCACTTACCTGAACGTACTTGTACGCATTTTTTCTAGATTCAGTCAACTGCCATACATATAGTTCAATAGTTATCATAACGCCATCTCTAAAACCAGTTGATGATCACGCGATTAAACAATCAGCGACTTCTTCCTAGTTACTACGTTTAGGCAAAGCTACTGTTAACACGACGATGGGTCTTCCCTAAAATGTTTCGCTTTTCAGATAGGCGCGCATAGCTCAGTTGGATGTGTAATATTAATTCAAATTCGTAAACATAAGCATAGAAGATCAGGAACAAAAATTATGTCCCTGGCCTATTCTTTTTGATACTAGGTTTTGCCATTATTGTGACCTGTCGTTCCATGCGAAACCGCGAACACAGAGTTTACAAGCCGAAGAAAATCAAAGAAGAATCAAATTTTCAATAAAGTAAAAAATGTCATTTTTTGTTGATATAAGGTTCCACTATGCGAGGCTAACTATTTGACAAAGAAACTATCAACTAACTATAAGCTATTAAAAATACAAAAAAACTAAGTTTAATTAATTGGTACTTATTTGTTTCTCCGCAACACAAGCTACTTTTGGTTACCTAGAAATTATTTCAACATAGTCGATTGTATACTACGATTCTTAACAATTTTAATTAGCGGCCACATAATTGCGTTCAGCAGATTTCTGAAGAGTAATCAATCTCTGCTCATTTCAGCGCCATGCATACCACTTATTAATTCCTATCAATTAAATTAATTTGCCACATCCAAAAGCGATAACTGTATATCAGATGGCTTAACAAACTATAGGAAATCCGCCCAATAATAAGAAATTATCGAACCTGAGAATGCACAAATCGTGAACCGATATTATTACATTAGCTCGACGTACTTACATATATAAGACTATAACTGTAAAGTAAAAATGAGCGATTAATTTAAAAATCGTCAGCTTTGGCATCGAGATCTCAAATGTATAAAGCTCCATATGTGTATATATATATATATATATGTGTGCTAGTTTACCTAAAGAAGCACACACACGTACATACGTGATACCAACTTATTTTATTACAGGTAGATCACAGGGTCGGAACATCCGAGACGTCTGAGAACATTTGGCGTTCACCGTCTTAAAGGACGGTATATTCCCCTTTAATATTTTTCAGTCAAAAACAGTTGTCAATGGAAGCTTAACCTGTCTTGGGTTTTTACCTTATTAATTCCATGTGTCGATATTTCAGTTCATTTCCATTAATATAGTATTTTCTATCAATACTGATTGCTAAATGTCACTTCGAGCCCTTGCCTTAGACACCATTATCCAGTAGTTCCGTATTGTTTTACTAAGAGTCGTCTTATGAGAAAAGCACAGTTTGTCGGAGATATTATTATATATGATTACCATGCATTTGCTGAGAAATTCACCGTCAAACAACACACCTTATGACAGCATATATAAATTAATTCAACATTTTTCATCGTACATGGTCATTTTCATTTTAAGAAAAAAAAACTTATTTCAAGGCTTCCCTACTATAACCTTTTGTATCAGCCCGGGGCAGTTGCATAGGTATTAAAAACATGCGGTAATTAGCTTTCGAAGATCTCTAAAGATGGATCTGTGGTGGCGGTCATATTCAAGAACACCGAACGCCACTATTAGCTATAACTTGTATTCTCGCATTTATGCTTTTTTTTCGCGCATACATGCACTCACACACCCGATGTTTTCCTTTTTAGTTAATAAAGAATTATTAGTTAATTCATTCATATTAACTGTATTGAGCTCATTATTTTAGCGACTTTGCATTCGACGCATCTTACGATCCAATTTCCTCTGCTTTTTTTCCGAGAGTTCTTCCTCTTCCCCAGGAGGGGCAAAAAACCAAGGACCAAGAATCTTAATCCACAGAAGATAGAACGCGTAAATCGGTACCTACAACAGGAATGTAGCCCAAACCAAAAACGTATCAATGATGTTCTTAATATCATCCAAACAAATACCTTTTTTCAAATATCAGGAGCATTGTAATTTTTAGACAAGTGTTTGGCGTTTTCAACAATGATGTTATGATGGAATCAACAAGATTCCATCATAACATGGCGCATTGGTAGGAAAAGCCGTTATTTGAAAAATGTGTAACGCTAATTTAGTCTGTAGTGTACGTTTTCTTTTGCCCATTCTAGGCATTAGAAAATTATTAACATGATTTGCTGCAGACGATAAATACATAGTATAGAAACGTTCGACAGATATTATATAGATATGTTCAGTTGCCACCGGCATGGGCTAAAGAAATTAAACGGAACTTGCCGCAGCACTGGGTTACTGTTACTGAAAACAACACTCCACAGATGCCTTTAGAGGAAAGGTTGAGCTTCTTCAATTATACATGTACTTAAATTTTAAAGCGTCAAAGTAATGCCAAAGCTGTATTAAGACTACCAGAACGCACCAGGGATCTTAGCGACAAACATGCTTCTATAGCACGCTTTTCTCTGTTATAAGGCATATTAAGTGCTATTTTTTGAGAATTATGATTATTAATCATCATCGTGACAACGAAATATTATTACCGCCACAATCGTGCCTATACTTTTTTTTTATTCATACAACATATACGCCATAAAATAAATAGGACCCAACTATTTCTCTAACACAGTATAAAAATGTATACTCACGAGAAGCATGAGGCACCAGAAGTAATTCGAGAACATAGCGAGAACTTCAACAAACGAACTTAGGATCACAAGATCCTTCAAATACCTTAAAATTATGAAATGCAGTTAATAACGACATTAGATGCTTCAGAAAAATATGATCATAGTGAAACCGAGCAATTCAACCAAACAGCAGATGACTCTACATATAATATTCTACTAGGTATAAATACTAAAAATAGGGGAATTCCATTGATGTTATTTTTGCCACTTCTGATTCCATAAAATACTGTTACTCTGAAGCTCATATAATATAAATTTCTTTGTTTACACAATTTGTGTAGTACGTTTCATCGGTAGGATTTGAACTGAAACATTTATTTTGTACAAAACTTGATATGTAATAATTATCACATAATCTTGCCAGATAAAGATGGAAAATACTATACTTCATAATATTTGCTTTCCAGATGCATTTTAATCCTATAGATGACTTAGACGTATTGACTCCAGCTTTAATACTTACTCACAAAAGCCATTTTTCATATTGAGGTCGGTGCCTCCGTCTAGTAATTGCCCTGTCTCGGAAAACATAGGTGTAGCCATACTATGCATCATAAATATACATCCAGCTTGAACCAAAGCTGTAAGCGAGAGAATCGTCTATTCGCACCACACCGCATGATAAAAATACAATACAGGAAAGGCAAATTTTACTATACGTAATTATAGAACGGAACACTTGGTCATAATTAGGGGTCTGATTATGTGAAAGAAATGAGCAAAAAGAAAATGTTCAATATTAAATAATAAACATTTTATATGTGTGATATATACATATGTAGGTGTGCTATATTAATGGTTGATATGCAAAATCTGACTAAATGCAGAAGGAATTATGCGAATGAGAAATTTGATAACTATATGGTAATCGATATATATATATATATATATATATATCGATTAGCATTAATTACTGGGTGAAAGTGATACACTAATCTAATAGACTGATCTGAAAATTGGAAAGACCCTTTCGCTCAACGCGAACCTCTCGCTGTTGTTTGAAAGTTTAAAAGCCTAACAACAACTATTAAAATTCTGTATACTTACAAATAGACCACTAGTGAGTCCGCCAGTAAAGATAAATATCGCGGCAAACAGGTACAGAGTTATGCCACTTGACGACATAATAACATAGAAGCGGATCGTATCCCGGTTTTCTGTGACTACCTGCTTCTGTCCTTTCGTCGCTTCCTTTTTCCCTCTGGGCTCCACAACCTGGTTTGATTCAAAGGTAAGCACAACAAGCAAACACTATTAATAATAGGCTTAACAAAATACATTTTTACGATATGTGTACAGGTCTGAATATTTTGTAGTTAATATTCACAAAAAAATCAACACGTATGTAAATTCACTCGAATGTGCACAGATTTGATGCGGAAAAATTTATGAAAAAATATTGTTATTAATTAGTAGAGCTCGGAAAAATGTTGTAAACGACATGTGCTAACATCTTACATTACAAAATATTCTGCCGTTTGAACTGTAAAAGGCGTATATTGATTGGCAAGGTTTTCATGCACCAGAAAATGAAAAATAAAGATTATATATAAAGACTGTGACAAATTATTGTTTTATAGAATCTCCATATAACAACCGTGCTCACAGCAAACAGAGTAAAATAAAACATTCTGTTGAATGTACAGTATTAGCATAAATATTCGAAGCTTAATAAAACAGCCAATTGACTTTGCTACAGCACTTTAAATTAAATTACCTTATGTAGAATTAAACATATTGTAGCTTGAGCTTTGTAGTACTTATGTATATCAAGTAAGTTCATAACAATTGAGATTATTCATTTTTCCGGGAAAAACTTGTGGTGGTAGTATATTTTTGTAGTGAGTACTTCAATGTCACATACATTCGAAATATTACGTGAAAAAGTGTTCTAGTTTACGTCAGCCTCAGCTGTGGTCTTAACCGACAGGGTGATACTTAGCACCTGCCTGTTACGGTTATTTCGTAAATTGTCAACTTACAACCATCGTAGAACTTGCGCTGTTAAAGCTTTTCGCGACCAATCAACTCTATATCCACCTCCGTATAATACACGCACTACAGTACTTAAAAAACAAAAATACCTCCTTGCCCCTATAGTTGTGGAAACAATGAGTGGTAATAATAAGTGTCCTTGAAATTTCTTGAACTTGATTATTACTATAATTTACTCGGTATAGAGGAAGTTTGGTTAAATTGAACTATCCACTAGGATCGGGTTGTGATCATGTTGACGTCAGCGGTTTAACTCTTATTATTAACTTCAATTAAGAGTGCAAGTAGATTGTTTGGTCTCGACGTGCAAGATAAGATTCCCACTGGTTGCGCCAGTGTTGATCAAAGAATGCCGTTGGTCTGCCAGAAACAATTTCTCAGCTGTTTAACCATTGATGACTCCGGTTTCGTGGAAGCGGGACACACCAAGCGATTCAACGCCGTTATTGGATTAGTCGCCTAGCAACTACGAATGGATGCATGTTGTTGAAAAGCGCGCTCTGACAGAGATTATGTCTGAATGAGCGAAGACAAATATGTTTTCAGAACCGGATGTGTGGAGAACGCAAGAAGAATGAAGAAAGGACCGAATGATAAATGGAAACGACTTTGCTATAGTACAGTAAAAATTTCCGAATATATATACTTAAAAATACGTGGAATATTTTTTTGAATGAACATCGTTTTATCTGTGTTCTAAATATACGTACTATTTGTGGACTCCGTTAAGGAAACATACATTGCCATATCTTATAGAACCATGATCATTTAACCTACAAACGACGTAATTGTACTATTTAACTACTACGTGCCCTTGTCCGCACTTTGAGCCGAAAGCCACTTACATACATCTCTGACATTTAGCGATTGGGTTATATAACACAAAAACAAGCAAGCAATAAATTGACTTATTATACACCAGAGAGAGAGTAGTAGGCGTGGGATAACCGTACGACAGTGTCTATGGATTGCGTCTGTTTCTCCATATCGTGATATCTCCTGCTTATCTGAAATGGAAAAAAATACTTCATAGAGAAAAGTGACCATTGATCGATGATTTTGAAGGCCGCACTTTGAGCAGCATACAAGACACCAATAAATAGGCGAAAAAGTGGAACATAACAAGTTAACCACCCGACAAGTTCACAAAGATAATATAGAGTTGGGATGATATATTCCATGATTTATAGCTCACTATGTCTACTGCGTTTGCTATGACGAAACGGCATATAGGCGCACTACTTCCCTAAAATTGAAAATTTGTTTTAAGTTTGCCTTGCAACTCACAATCTTTGCAAGCCTTACAGTAATTTTTTTCCACTTCTAATCGTACTAGGTATATACTCCGATTAAAAGAACTAAACGAACTATTTAAAAAGTATTTTCTAACATATATATCTAAATAACAATCATACCTTATTGTTCAAATGCCAACTCAATGTGGGGCGTCAAGTTGGATTTTTATTTCATTGTTTACCTATACATTTATTAATATTATTACTATTATAAAGTTTTGTTTTTTTTATTATTTTTATGGATACTTTTTCTTCAAGAGCTCGATATTGCCTATCATTGGCTAGTTATCGGTATCCGTCGCAGAGTGATGGAATGGGTGCACATTCACAACGGCGATCATTAGGTCCGGCTTTGTTGAGCTGCCATCTGCTGCTGGGCTTGAACTATCTGCTGCGTGCTTTGTTCCACCTTTTCTAATCGCTGGTACCAACCCGAGAGAATTTCGCGAAGCTGCTCCCATTCATTCCTGCAATCAACATGGTAGCATTATTAATGAACCCTAATTAATGTAGGTGTCATCTAGTACAGATGTCTTATCTGAGGGAAAACAAAAGACTAAAACATAAAAAGTAACTGGTAGCACTTTTTTTTGAACATGAAGAAAATCGCTTGTACGCAAGGCTACACAAAACTGAATAGCGTAAACGCCTCTATAGAGATTATATACAATAGTTATATCTAATTTATTGACAAAAAGTACTTTGCAAATGACCATTTACTTCTACATCCAAGATATTGTATCCGTTTATTAATTCACAAAAGCTATACACATTTATAGGCATCTTTCTTTTCATATATTTTTTTATACTATAACTTACTTCATGAAGCTTCGATGCATTGTACTGACAACAATGACTTTCTGATTTGGTTGGTTGACTTTAGCGGTGACCAGCTTAGTACGAAGGACGTTGATCGTGAATCCCTCAACATCATCGATTTCGACCTCGCGTTTGATGTCATCGAACGAAATCTCCTGATTCTTTTCTGCCAGGTACATGAATGTCAAATAGCGCATTTTCTCTACGTTCTTTTCGTGATCTAGTCCAAGCTGCTCGACCACTTCTTTATGTTTTCGGTAGAATTCCCGATATTCGGACAGCTTGCCATAGACAAAGATTTTGAGAAGCTCGTTGATTGGCTGGTTCTCAAGAGCCTTAATTGGCTTTAGTGGTATTAAGTGGTCCATGAGATAGGTATTAGGATCGCTGATAGCGAACGCGATACATTTGATAGCGTCCTGATTTGCCTCCGCAGCGTCGTGATCCTGATACGTCGATAGCAGTTCCACCATAACGCGCAGTGGCATATCAGAAACGCTGGTAGAGCCCAAAGCCGAATGGATATTACGATACACTTGGCGTGCTTTGTCGACAGGACACCTAATCTCTTCTAGCCACTTCTTGGTCACCGATACATCCTGGAATACTTCAGGCACGGAGCCGACCTTGGCTAAGGGGACAAAGTGCATATAGCATACATCATACAAGATAAAGTTTTCGACATTAGTCAAATTCCAAGCTATCAGCAGAGCAAGAGTAAGCAGAGTTAATTGGAACTAATAATATTTCTTTGGATTTTGATATATTACTGGTTGATGAATTATATACAAATCGTTGCACAAAGGAGGAGAGCTTGATTTCACACAGTAAAAATTGCTAATGTAAATAGAATATAACCAAAACTGACATACACAGCTTTTTCTCAGTTACATGGTTATCTGTCAAATAAAAGAACTCACCGGCAACCCGGAGTAAAGAGCAGAAGACATCCACGCGGTTAGGGCAGTCATCAGCAAGCCCTTCATAAAAGTTATATAGAACGTTAAAGGCGACTCCTAGGTAGGGCTGAACTGTTGCGGACTCCAAGCGCTCACAAAAGAGCTTGTAGTCAGCTTCAATATTGTCAGTTTTGCAGACGAGAATAGAAACAAAACCTGTTCCATGAAAGAAGGACAAAACAAGACAAAACAAATATGAAGTGTAGTAAATATCTAAATGAAAAGACAAATTTCCATATATTTGTGCAGGGCTATTAAAATAAATGTCTATCTTGTCTCAGTTTTGTTTATCCAAACACGATCGATGGTTTATTCGAAAAAAACAACAACAACCATTATAAACTAAACAGTAACATTTAACCTTTCGACTCGACATCAACGGTTTCGATTACTTTGGAATTTCGGTGTTAAATCCGGAAGATTATTTAGCCGACATGGTGTTTCGCGCCTAAACGAGAGGCCATCTCCCTCATAAAATCAATGTTTCATAAAAACTCAGCCACATCCAGCTCTATCGTCTCTTTTTGGCAAATGCAAATAGATTCACTGAGATAAGTAGGATATCTTGTACATACTTCAGCATATAAGTCACGATACTAGGGTTAAAAGTAAGAAGTTAACTAATACACTAAACTTATTATAGGAGTACAGAATGCCTCCACCTGTCAGGTTCTACGTATAGACCTAAGCTTATGTTTCATGGTCTTCGACAGGCCGGATGAGCAAGTCCGCGCATGAATACGTAAGATGAAACCTAATTATAAATGGCTGTCTTATTATTATTATAATTATAGATAGCTGAGCCCAAGCTGATTGCTTCTCTGCACGAAAACATCTAGAAACGTTTGTATTTAGAGACGGATAACATTTTTATAATCACATTTCCCTCACTAGATCACCAAAACATAAACTTATGAGGAATAATGGAATAATAATTGAATGAATACTTATGAATAATAATAGAATGGAACAGCAAGTACTCTAATATGTCCTCCACCCAGCAGGAGGATTCCAGCTTGTCTGTGAAGGGCCCTCACCGTTAAGAACGGACTCGGCATCCTCCGGAGGCATCTTGAAGCAAACGTCACACACCCCGAGCAAGTCGCTGATTTCTGCATTGAGTTCTTTCGGCTTCTCTGAGATTGGTGCATTGAACTCGAGGAACATTTGGTGGATCTCACTGCACTGCTCATTAAACGTGAGCGGGATAAACATCGGCAAACTCATTGTGAGCACGCTGATATTGAGATGCTACACAACCTAATTTCACCCGATTAGCGGCAGCTTTCCGATCGAACACGACTCTAAATTGGAAATAAGAATAAAGTAGATTTGCTGTCACCAATCTGGCAAATTTCACCGGCTTTTTCTGGAAGCCAGCGCACGTTTTGCTCTATCGATGCAAAATGGCCGATTATTTACATTGGGCAGACGACGCACGAACATTTAATAATCATCACCCAAGCACAGTTCACGATTGAACTCCTGCCATGGTCGAATGATTGTTCGAATGACTAGGAATCAATGAATTTTATTGACTGTAGTTAACTGTTTGTTAGTCGGCCAATTCAAAACAGTGAATCTTCTGCGTGCGGAGCGTGTGTGATTAGGAATGAAAAAACACTCGCTGGCGGACGCACTTTACGGACACAGTACGCAAAAGTTGCGCGCGAAAACGTAGGAGTATCAGGATGTGAGTAACAACATATAACTATGCCGGAGGTGTTTTCCAGAAGGTATTAATATATATTGAACGAAAACCTGAATAATTTGAAGCAAAAATTGACCTTCATTTTATACCTACGTGAACCGCTGAAATGACTGTCAGAAGTTTTTTTTGGATAAAAAAAATCATTTTTCGACTGAACTCACGTCAAGCCAACACTAATATTGGAAGATAATTGATCTTTTTTAACATTGTCGGAATAACAGTAGATGATCAAAGTTAAAAGATAACAATAGTACATATCCTTAACATGACGAGATGCGAGATTAGGGGCAACATGAAATGCAAAAGTGCTCAACCGAAACCGAACAGGGTTCTAAAGTGATAGAATACAGGGTGATCAAATATATTCGCAGCGATAATACTTAAAAGAAAACTTTAACAAGACCGACCACAGAACTCGATGCTGAGCTTTTGTACCAATTAGATTATAGACCCAAGCAGTATGGCCCACACAAGACGTTAACAGACCATTGTCTCTCGAACGAGAACAGATCGTGATTAACAGATATGAAGCTAGTCCCCGCATGAGGTCTGCGTACAAGGCGTAATCGTTTTTATTCGTGAAAGCGCTCGTCATAAATTACTAAGTGAAGGTAACGAAAGAAAAGAGTAACGCTTCAAATTATCTATTGTCTGGTAATTTAATTATTTGATTTGAACTTGAAATTGTCATTGGATAATCTCAGTAAGCATTTTGCGTACTTGAAGTTTATTTAGCACGACGATGCCAACTCTCGTTTTTCTCGAGTTTTACTCAAGAGAAATGTAGTTAAATATAATTTTGTCTAGAAGCAGGAAACGTGTTTTCTTAATACCATGGAGTTATCTTCTATTTTCGGTCTCGTCTATGATGTTAAAGTATCGATATGCTAGATAAGCACTTCCAATAAATGGCGAAAGAAAAGCTCATGGTGACGCACCAGTTTTGGGAAGCATTCTCCAAGCAACTACCTATTTGTATTATTTAACGATTGCAAAACAAATTATGTCCACTTATAGGAAAGATAATCAATAACATTCCTTATGAAGTAACTAAAACTTGCTTCAGCCGCTGTGTAGCGTGTTGGAAAGATTTGCCTTAAACATCACATATCTTCGTATCCACTTTCCACAGCATTACCCCTTTCGGAGGCTACTATTTTCTCTTTGAAACTTTATGCATAATGATTAAAGAACCGATCACAGCATTCTATCATTCTCTTGATAATTTACGCAGCTCGTAGCAGACAGCAGATAACTGCAGAGACGAAGGGGAGGGCAGCTCACTCTCAACAACCATATGAGTGTAACCTTCGAATATGTAAGTAAGGAGTTACCTTGGGTAGCATGATCGAACTGACAGTCGCGACAACCTTTATTTTAATTTCCTTTTGCTAGAAACACACGAAGTTCTGTTCCTGGTACCGCGCTCTATGTGTGCTTCAAGCAAGGATGTGATCGCGCGTTGAAATTAGTTGGTACAAATAAGCTGTGTTCATATATTTTGACGTCGATCAAACGTAAGTATCCTTGATAAATAATACGACTTTATGTAAAGGAAGGAAGGAAGGAAGGAAGGAGGTATGTGAAGGAGGGAGAAAAAATAGGTAGCATTAAAGCTTGTGGAATACTAGGGGTACTGTTGCTTTCGCCCGAAATGTTACATATCGTATAGATCTAATGAAATAATGTAATCAACATGAACATAAAATAAATTCGATGTTTAAATTTTGTTGGTTAATGACAGGAAAATATTAAACAGAAACGGCTAAGTATGACATTTTATTTGCTATTGTTCACGATATCAAAGTAGTCGCAAAGATTCATAATAAGAACGCGACAACCCAATAAAAGATAAATATATCTACTGGTTATGTAAGCGCTTTTGCTAGAGTAAACAGATATAGGGTGTGAGTATTGTAAAGCTGGAAAACAGATTCGACAGAATTGATAATGCAACGAACTTTGTAACCCATGTTGATTATTTCATAGAAGGAAAAAGTGCAATCCATATTATTAAAATTGGTTTTATGGATTTCATGTTGTGAAAGTAATTTTCTTTGGAAAAAAATTCATGAAAAAAGTGTAATATATCTTCGATTTTCTTTCGTTTTCCAACGTCGTTTTTGGATCAGCTGAAAAGATGAGGTTGCCATTTGGAATAGCTACGACATTAGTTAGGCGTAGCTGGTGCAGTGCAGCAAACAGGCGCCCCATTAGCATTGCGGATGTTACTGCCCAGCTGCCGCCGGCTCGTGTGGGAGAAAATGTCCCCAGGAAATATCGTAAGTGACGGCAGAGAGAATCATTCATTCACCAATACGATCTAAACCATTTTTTTTTTTATTTACTTGATGTTAAATGTTAACGAACGTAGATATTGAAAAATGGAAAACTGATCTGGCAACTGTATAAAGTAACAAATATTGCTCTGGTAATAATAGAAATAGGCATAATTAAAGAAAAAAAAAACCCATTTAAAACGAAAACTATGTTTTCATTGCATATTATTCTCAATTAGACGAGTTGTCGAAATAAATTAAATTAGATGAAATTTCGTTCGTATTACATAGTCTCCGACGTTGAGACTAAAGGGACGTGGAATATCTTGCGGTGGCTGCTTCAAAAGGATAGCTTAGGACAGGATGTATTCCTGTTGGGACCCCCGGGATCCATAAGACGTCGTATCGTCTTTGCCTACCTCGAGTATACGGGTCGAGAAGCTGAGTACGTCGCGTTGAGTGCGGACACTACAGATTCTGATCTGAAACAGTACCGTGAACTAAGTAGTAGCCAGGCTGGCTGGAGAGATCAGGTAATATATCACCCTTCAGATCTGGGCTGATTTTATACATAGGAAATAGAGGCTGAGAGTCAATTGCGGGTTAAATACGTTTAACCGTTCGTTAATCGTTGTGAAAAGAACCAAGCTTGTGCACAACAGCTATCTGGCCGTTCTAAATGATCCTATACGATTATCTTGTAAGGTTGAAATATATACTGATGTTAAGAATAGGCCTGGATTAATTTATTGGTACAAACTGAAGTAATAGGGAAGACAATTAGGGGTAATGTACTTTATGGATGGTGGTCAATTTGCTAAAAGCGGAAGTTTATAGAATACAAAAAAAATACACGGATTAATCTCAAATTGCTGATGTAGAGTTTTGTGAAGTAATTTTCTCTTCCGGAGTTCCAAAATGGATGTGGTCCATAGCATTAACTTGAAAAAGGTAGATAAAAAGTTACATCGCATCCCACTATATTATTTGTTTCACAAATTTTACTTGTGAATGGAAAATCAGTCTTGAAGACTTCGACATCAACAAACATGTTTTTCTTGCAGGCGGCTGTTCGAGCAGCCACGAAAGGTCGCGTTCTTGTTCTTGATGGCGTCGAACGGGCAGAACGAAATCTGCTCCCGCTTATAAATAATCTTCTTGAGAATCGTGAAATGCACCTTGATGATGGTGGCTTTCTTTTACGTTCCGACAAATTTGATGCTCTTGCCAGTGAGGTATGAAGCACACAGATAACCACACACGTTCGTTTGTCTAACTGTCCATAAAAAAAAAGTTTATCAGGCTCTGTGATTTGCAAATCGTGAAAGCGGTATCGATGAAACATAACTAGACTTTGTATTTAATTTTGTAACATTCAACTGTCTTGAGAAGGTGCCGAAAGAAATCTCCTTTGTGCATATCTTATCATTTTTGATAAATAAATACAAGTTGCTAGTCAATCAATGACACTTGTTTTGAAGATAAATTTCTATGAGAGCATGCGCAAATAAGCGTAGCTTATTTGCATCCGAACTATAGATAGGCTACAGTATGTAATTTTACACAAACTCGAGACTACCAAGATATGGAACTCAAGTAAGCAATTTTTTGTCTGCATCGTGTCACCAGGTTGGCTTAGAAAAATTATTGGATTGGGGTATGCGACGGGTTCATGAAGATTTTCGGGTTGTTGCCCTTGGTCTACCAGTCCCTCCATTTAAGGTTAGCAATTTTCTTACACTTTAGACTGTTCTTCGGTCAGACAGGATTGACACTATTCACAACACATTTGATAATAATGTCACATTTGGTGGTTTTGATTAATAGGGAAATACACTGGATCCTCCCTTTCGGTCACGTTTCCAGTGTAAAGCTCTCAAGTTTCCAGACTTCGACGACGCGTCTACTGAGCTCAGAGCTCTGGCTCCCTCCAGCAATACCAGTCAACAACTCAAACCGTTGCTCAATATCGTTTATACGATCAATACGCCGCAGTTACAAGAACTCGGTTTACCTTTCTTCTCATACGATTCTTGTCAGCGGATGGTCAAGCTCATGGTACGTAAATAAAACATACCTAAACACCAAGTTTATTCTGGTTAGCTTTAAATAGATCCCCCAAGACTGTTTTGATCCTTGCTTTTGTTATATTTGCATTGATTATCGGGGATATCATAATCTACGATAAGTGAAATAAACATATGGTTTATAAATTTACGAACTATTATTAGGATAAAATATCATTTTGCCTGTTAATTGTTATCTCGCTTGTTGTTGTTGTTGTTGTTTTAGGAACTGAAGTTTTCCCTTTCAGAGGCCCTTGACATCGTCTACCCTTCGTTTCATTTGAGTGACGAGGCGCGAAAGTCTATCGCTGACATCGTAACTAAAGAGGATCGTTCCATAACGAAACGGCGAGGGTCCCGTTCAGTAATCGCTGGAAAGGCTTCGGAAATGTCTTGTTTTGCGATAGCGGATACACAAATTGCTCTGTCTAGAAAGCACAGCGATTCCACATCCCGTTTAGTGTTAACTCCATCGTTTACGTACGCCGCAGACACACTTTTAAAAGTGCTTTCTATCGGTTAGCTTTATATGATTTTCAAGTTGATTGAAAGTTATGTTTTGTTTAATCGAAAATATCTCTTGTTATTGGATATGGATTCTAAACATAACACACTTGCATAAGCGTACAAGCGTTGTGAAGAAATTGTAGGTAAGGAATTCGTTTTAATACTGTCCAAAATTGATTACAGGCGACGTCTGTGTTATTGGACCGCGAGGTAGCGGTAAAAATACTTTGGCACGATTCGTAGCGGAACGCCTAGGATACAAGCCTAAATCAGTTCAACGAGTTGGTCTGTACAAAGATATGAGTGGAAGAGAACTCCTTCAGAGCCGACGGCTTGAGGATGGCACGACGATTTGGAGGTATGTCGCACGCAAACTATGTTCAAAGATACATGTACCTCTTATTCGTTGTGGGCTATATCATACACAAGTTCTCTCTGCGATAATGCCAACGTTGTTTAGTTGTTGCTTCCTTCTGTGGCTCGCTAAGAAATGCAGCTTTGTGAAACGAAGTTACCATCGACTTCAGTCAATTTGCTTAGTTTGTTCGGATACATTTCAGGGACTCACCGATCGTTAGTGCTGCCCTAGAAGGCAATTGTCTCATTTTGGATGGTATCGATGTGCTTGATCCAACGGTACTGAGCTCCCTTCAATGGTAAGTTGTTCTGTCGAGAGACCTTATGATCGGCTAGTTTATTAGCTTTACTTTTGCTCTGTTTATTGAGACTTTATACTTCGTAATGAATCAATAGATTTGAATATAAATAATATTTAAATGTTGCTATCGCTGCCAGGGATACTAGGTATTCATCGTGATGTCTTTTCTAAAGGACCGGTTAAATTTCAGTCTGATCTTTGAACGCGAGCTCTGGTTATCTGACGGTACAAAGTTATTGCGTCATGATCGCTGGGAAGCGATAGGCGCCACAGGAAACGCTCGTCCGGTCCATCCCAAGTTCAAAATAATCGCTCTGGCAGAGCCTCCTAAAGCGGATTCATTAGACAGAACCTGGCTGACATGTAAGTAGTTCTTCTGTTTATACATAGCTACGACCCAACCGAAGTAAAAAGGTAGTCTTAAGTAAGCTTCTTTAGATTCAGCTTTGTGTGCAGGTACATCTACCTTCAAAAGCCTCCTAGCCCATAGCAGCTACATATGCACCAGAGTCCACGCCAAAACCTTTAATGAATTGAGTCGATTAAATAATTGGTTGACCCATAATTACTGTTTGTTCTATGTCAACAATAACCCTATATTCTCACTGAATGGACCATCAGCCGAAGTAAGCAGTATGTTCATGACTCTCTATGTACCAACGTGTCCCGCTGAGGAAATGGCCAGCGTGATATCTGCTCTAGTTGGTAATGAGCCACCATCGGAATTGCTCAAGGCGGTTACGGCTCTCCGAAGTTCAACAGATGCAAGCCTTCGCTCATTGTCGGATTGTCTTAGCACGCGTCAGCTAATCCGGATCTGTCGTAAACTATCAGCATATCCTACTAATTCGTTGTACGAATTGTTGACTGAAGCTATGCTTATCAAGTAAGTCTTTAATAGACTTCGATTTTTCGAGACTTCGAATTTTTGGCTTGAAATTTGAATAACTTTAGGATAAGTTTGGTTACAGAAATACTTGTTCGATTTTTAATATTGCAGGGGACAGTCAATAGTATTTTATGTTTTATCTCACCTCTCGTTATGGCTGCCTGCTTTTTAATTGATGCCATTCTTGCACACGAATAAATGTGCCTTGTTGCACTCGTTTTCGGTAATGTGCGTATCATTTGATTTCGATTAGCATTCAGAAACATTTCTTGTAAATTACAAAAGGCCATGTAAGCGTGTTCACTCCCGTCATGTTGTCCATTTAGCATCAAAACTGATCTAAGATGAAACTGCAGACGCAAGTAAACATGAAAACCCTTTCGAATTTAAATCGTAACCTACGCCTTTTTTTGTTATACTTCTCCTAAATCTAGATTTGCTCCTCAACTGACAAAGATGGCGTTTGACGAGAGCCTAAGCGCATGTGGAATTGAAAATTCTCACAATAAAACTAAGACGTTGGACACTAACAACCTTGACATAAAGGTTGACAGAACTACGGTGACCATTGGCGACGTTGTGATACCCAGAAGTCTCGAGCAGAAAGCTCCCGCTAAAATACCCAGTTAGTTCCACAAACGCCCTTAAAATAGGTTCTGTTCTTGCAGCAATATATTATGTTATAATCACAAATGCATTATGCGTGCAAAGTGTGAGGTTATTTGCTCGAGGCAAATAACAAATTGATCCGTAATATAATTTTATTAAACACTATCATTTGCTTATTCGTTTCCCGTATATAATGAAGCGAGATATAGATGGGGTTGTCTTTTCCAAAAAAACTAATGAAGATTTATTTGGAAATTTCCAGGTACTCTTTACTATAAAAATCCTCGACAATTGCAGCAGCTTTACCGCATCGCACAGGATTTGGTCCTTGGGGAGCATTTACTACTTGTTGGCAATCAGGGTGTTGGTAAGAACAAGATTATCGATCACCTTTTAGCTATGTGCAATCGTCCACGCGAATATATGCAGCTTCATAGGGATTCTACCATTGCGTCATTGTCCGTCCAACCACAGCTCATTGGTAAGCTTTAGTTTTAATCGTTCTTCTAAACGGAATGGTCTGTCTTACATTCATCAAGTCCAGTAGCCTAACACGAGATACTAAGAGATGAAAATGAAATCGCTCCGCTTATTTGTGTACGTAATTCTGAGCGTTTCTTGTTAAATGGTCACCTTCAACTTCTTGCTGCGATGCAAGGGTTTATCATTCGCTGTATCGAATTTGAGTGTTTCTGCATATTTGTCTCGGTTTTCTAGACGGTAGCGTTGTATATCAGGATTCTCCATTATTGAAGGCTTTAGTTGAGGGCCACGTTGCCGTGATTGACGAGGCGGACAAAGCCCCCGTTCAAGTGGTGCGCATGCTGCATTCTCTTTTGGCCCGAGGTGAAATGCAGATCTTGGACGGGCGACGAATCGTCTCTAAACCCAAGGAGCTCGCTGGGCCGCAGGAGATTGCTATGCACCCAAACTTTCAGGTGAAATCCAATTTAGGCTTGCTATGCATAGAACTGTAAGGCATAAACCAAAGAACAGTATGATTAGGTCAAGCTAGCTGGATCACTAGCTCATTTGACATTTGTCTATACAAAACTGGGTATGACGCTGATTGACATATCAACATATACAACCAATAGAAAGTGAGACAAATTGCTAGGAAACTGCTGCTAATGTCGAAGGTATGACAACAAAATAAAAACTTTGTGATATATTTAGGCAATTGTCTTGGCAAATCGGCCGGGCTTTCCATTCATGGGACACGACTTCTTCCCATTAATAGGAGACGCAATGGCTGTACATTCTATCGACGCGCCTGATGCCCCTTCCGAACGAGCTCTTCTAGCTAATTATGCGCCGAATCTTTCAGCCGAGCAACGCATTCAGCTTGTCGATCTATTTGCAGGTTAGTTTACTAATTGTTATGATACACGGGTACAAATTACGCTAAACAGGTTGATACCTGTGAGCTCGCCATACATTATTAGTTATCTATTTTTTCATAGTATGTCGTACGAGCAGGGTTAGTTTTTGATGCCTTCGAATGTACTAAAAATCACTGTAACCGTTTATTGAAAAGTCCATTACTATTATATGTAAGTATATTATTACGTGTAACATTGGAGCAAAAGCTGCTCTCAATAGTTGGACGAACTCTTTTTTCGTTCTCTGTACCGTTGCAGATCTTCGCGAGCTCTACGATTCTGGACAGATTAAATACCCGTTCTCCACACGAGAGTTAGTAAACGTCGCCCGCCACCTGTCTGCATTTCCGGCCGATGGAGCCCTGCAGGCTCTAGCAAACGTCCTCGATTTCGATTCGTACGAACCAAACGCAAGAAAACTCATCGGTGAGGTTATGCATCGGCACCGCTGATCCTTACACGCAAGGAATGCCGTTTAACATCAAAACATCAAACATCATCAAACATAACGTGAAAGAAAAACATTCGGAGGCGCAAAAAAGCTAGCTGATTCTATTTCAATGCCCTTTGCCCTGTAACACATTCCTCACTTCGACAACAGGGAACCTTAAACGTAATCTCCTTGTCTCGGAACAATATGACTTTCAAACAAAAGTTTCCATTGTTCTGGCACAAGTTACTCTATACTATTAATGACGTGACTGCGAAGACTGCCGTACAGGTGTGAGGTTAAGGTAGATAATCATAGAGAGCGATCGATGCCGGCAAAGGTATACTAGAAGGCATATTTGCCATGAAAACGATGAGACCTAGAAATTGCAAATAATTCAAAATGTTTTGTAAGAACAAAGCCCTACGAGATGGGTTAGTTTTATGACTCATAGGTGCAATTATGAAATTTTCATATCGATATTCCAGAAGGCATAATAGAAATTAAGAACGCTTCTACGTCTAGTGTACACTTTTATAATAAAGAAACAGAAATGTAGAAAACGATTTCGGATTGTGTGAAAGTTCACCGTATTTGTAAAGACTCACCTGAAACCTTGCCTATTTTGATGTTTAATGATTTCTCAGAAGAAAGTAATACCTGACTTAATATTTATAGTTACAATTTGCTCAAATACCATTGATAAATCCATATGTAGATATGCCTAGTGCCTTTTTATATATACATATATCGTTAGAGGAACTACCTTAGCGAGTATAACGGTTTATTAGGCTGTAATGTTTGCGTATCACTTTAAATTCTAAATAAATGCGAATGGTTCCCTATACGAATTAATGAAGTGTTTTCATTTAGCTAAGTAAAGGTGTACGTTATGTTCTTTCTGTGCTTATGTTGTAGGGACTATTATTCGGAAGTACGGCATTCCATTCGATACGGACGCATCCAACATCTTCCTAGCCGAAACCCATGAACTAGGCCCATGGATAAATGTTACCAGCTTCAATATTAGCTGGAACAGGACCGACGATATTAATAAAAAACCTATAAAGTTTGTTGTAAGTGTAGACGACCATGGCGGGCAATAATATTTTCAGTATATTTTTTCTATTGATTACCTAATAGTGAGCGCTATTGAAGTGGGATTTTGACAAGATTTTTAGTTTCCATGTAAGTGACTACTCTGTTTGAAAATAATAGAAGAAAGATCTCGACGTAACCAAAACTGATCGATAAGATCTTCAGCGAGAACAAAAAAAGGAATTTGATTTTTTGTTGGATTGCCGCATCGCGATTTTAAATGTATTTTTTCAGCTTACTTTACCTTTCCTTGTTCATAACCGTTGGTCTGCTTTTTACCATGGGTTTGGTCAACAGGCATCCTGTATTGCAAATTTTTCGAAATAACAAAATTAAATGCTAGATTGAGTAAGAGGTGCGGCATATGCCGTGGGAGGCTCTCTTGCGCAGCTATTATTTATTTCTTTCATTTTTGTTTTACGTCCGGTATTAAACCGTTAGGTACTACTTTAAATGACACAACATAAGGCGTCTTCTTATTATTTATATATATATATATATATTATTAACCTAGATCACTAAATGTCCCTGAGTTTAGCAGGCAAATGCGTTACCCGTTGCACTATCACGAGAACGGTATTGTGCAGACGTTAATGAAATAATATTAAGATAATTAGCACAGTGGTCTCAGCCCACATGTTGACTATGTTTACGACTCATTTTTAAACTAAGTTAGAGTCAGGCTTGAGTTGCGAACGTCGTTGGGATGTCAATCAAGGGCCGATACAAGCCCAGAAAATCAAGTCAAGTCTTGTAACTTTTTGGACAGTGTGTTTCGTCCTCTACCGCCCTGTTAAGACTTACACTTTAAATCAACGGATAAACATTTTTATTAGCTTTGATATTGTTTCGTCAATCACCAGTTCGGAATATACGACCGTAAAGAAATACAAGTTCCGATTTTCTAAAACCTTTTTATAGATTTTTCTTTAGCTTGAATATGTTCATCGGCTACCTGAAACACTAAATTAAGACAGACATCAGGTACAAAAGACGATTTCAATATGAAGAGAACTTGTTTCACTTAATTCATATTTGAATTGAATTACAGGATCAGTTGTTTCTGAAGCAGGGCTCACGGATTCAAGTGACTTCATCTTTTCCACGACTTGATCGCTTCACAGAACTCAGTCAACAGTTTCGAGTGCCATTTTCCCGAATTAAAGAGCTTCTCATCTCGGGTTCGTATTCAAAGTCTCCGTGTCGATTTCATACATTGCAAACCAAGCGTAATTACTTCACCATACTTGAGAATATACCTACAAACTTTTAACAATATGTATTGCCTTAAGTTCGTGCTGTTTTCATATGCACGTACGGTTCTTGCAGGGGGAACGCCTCACGTTATAAGTTTTGAGGGTCAGCCCATTGTGGGTACGTTAGATTTGAAATCCCGCGTGTGGAATGTGAAGAGCATACCACTTGCCTCTAAAGAGCTTCTTGCTTTTGGACTGCGAGACCCCGATCCGGGAAAATTCGCTCTTTTGGATCAGGTAGGTTGAATATTTTTCAGTATTATTGTACTAGGGTAAATTATTATTTAAGGGGAAAGAGTCCCTGGTAGGAATCCCATTGTGCTAGGGCGCGCATAATTTCTATAGAGATTATAACTTGAATGCAATATTAATAAAGAAATAGTAGACAAATAATAGGTAATTGCTAGCTTTTGACCGTTAGCATTTTGAAGAAATGGCTGAACTTCTCTATTAGACCATGTTAGTTGGCTGAGATATTTTATGTAATTCGATAAATATGAAATATTTATCGGCCGCTGAACTACTAGTATTTATTCCGCTGGCACACTGGCTTATACGATTTGGAAAAAGTTTATAGGCAAAAATAGCCATGTTTAGATTGCATTTTTTGCATACGTTTTATGCATTGGGAATTGGTAACTATTAGCAATTACTAACGACGTTGTTAATTTTCCTCGCCATTTTCAGTCGCAGGAAAACTTATACATGACAAACTTGAGTCAAAATGTGATCAACTTATCAAATGTTCCGTCTGGCAAGATCCTACACCGAGGTTTTAACCGACTCATTATTAAAACCAAACCGTAAGTACAGATCGCATGCTCACGTTGCTTTTTTATGATCTAGAGTGCGTTTGCAGAATGTTATTGCCAAAACAACCCGTAGGGTCCAAAATGTAATTATATACTCGTATGCAATGGACTGTTGTTTGAAAAAAATAGCTTGGGTCACGTTTTACTCGCACAATTTAAACCATGCACGAAGACGCCCGTTAAAATGCCGAGCCGTATTTCGTTATTTTTGCTGCGGTTTACTTTGTCTTTAGAAATGAAGTGGTCGTAATGCCGCTCAAATATCCAATGAGTTTTTATTGGTCGCTAACGCTAAACGAAAGCGTGAGTTGCGCTGTGCCATTCGGCTCTGATCAACTTATTTTACTTAATAAGAGTCTGCTTTACGACCTCGAGAAAAACCGCGTGAGCTTCGCCAGTCTACCAAATGGACTGAAGTTCCTCGACCATGACATCTTTAATTCTGACCTTCACATTATTGGTAAGCGATGGGCCCCTTTAGCCTTTCCTTCGTTTATTTAGCGTATTATTACGTACATTTTCCTCACTTTTTATGGTTACAAGGAGATAGGCTAAATGTTGTATGATGATAATCCTATGTAACATGTATGCGCAGTACGAATGTGAGCGCATCTCGTCATTGTCTGTTGTTTTGCGTGTTTTCGTTAGGTCAAGTGAGACTATCAGATGACCAAGCGACATTGTCAGCCGTATATAGACCGAAGTTCGAGTCTTGTGAGGAGGCAGTGGCTCTGGGTGCCGGAATGACCGCGGCCACCATGAGTGGGCCCCCTTATGGTCTCGAATACATCAAACTGCAAGCGAACAGAGTGTCTCGCTTGCCACTGAATCAGAAGAATAGCTTTTTGAGGGCATGCGATACCATCCCAGGACGACTGTACAGCCTCGAACAGACTCGACAAGGCTGGCATCTTAACACGTATACACTCGGTTAGATATCGGAATAGAGTTTCCTGAATGTATGGGTCGCCAATACCGGAAAGCGGAGAAGTGGCTTTTTTTTTACACAGTATATTAAGTTGCGGTTTTTTCAATGACATTGTGTTGGATTTTTTCAAAAGGAGAGTAAATTGTTGAAAAATAAACTAAATAGAAAGAACTAAAATAATATGTAAATTCAGAAAAATCAGGTCGTTAAATCTACGATGTTACACTCACTAATATATTTCGTGCATTCACGAAATAGCAACCGCTGAGCTTGGACGTGAACTCGAGGACTGGCAGAGAACGCTGGGTTCAAATCCTCGCCACGAACCGAAAGGACCCAAGCATGGCAGAACGGACAACGAAGAACATCATGGGGGCAACACATGGGCCGGCGGCACTGGAGGGTCAGACACAGCTGGTCTTGGTGGAGTCGGCGGTCCTTACCGCCTCGATAAGGGCTTCGACGTCCATCAAGTACGTCCCTATGGTTTTCTGTTCGCTTAAAAAGAAGCGCATCTTGCAAAAAAAGTTTCTGTTGTAAACGATTGCCAAATAGACGTGATTCTAATTATATTGCGGTTCCTACCAGCGAACTAGTCTAATGATAAAATAGAAGAAAATTCCAGTCCAATTCAAGCTAACCTTATAAAACGAAAAATCTTTTTATAGTGGGTAGTTGGACAGAGACATAATAGGGCCCTTTGAGTTCTCATGCGAGGCCCCTTGAGCACTGGCCTTTGAGTCGTGATGTAAGGCGCAAGTTATCCTTGCCATCAGAAGGGTTCCGTGTATGTAATAGTCAGTGTTTTCTAACGCCTAATGGATTACTGTTTCGAATTGCAAGGTTTCGGATGAGATCAAAGGGACGGTGCCTCGCCATATCAAGGAGCAGGCAAAACAAATAGCTCGAGAAGCGCTGGAGCGCAGGCTAAAGGAGATAAACATGTCTGACTCCGAGCACAATGTTTACCGGTAAATTAATTTGGCTTACTTCATATTTAGTTGTTCAATAAGAAATATGACACAGTAGATGTTTCAGTTTTTTTTTTTGTCAAAAACTTAGTTCCTATATTTCCTATATCAGCCAAAATATGCACTATTATTTTCGATGGTCTTTTGCCATTTGTGTGATAATTTACCCACTCCGTTGCTACGAGGGTCAACGAAAAGAAATTTCGACAACACGTTGAAATTAAATTTTTTATTATTCCTCCTCGATTTGTTGATAGTATATTTCAGCCGCAATCATCGGATCAAAACTCATGAAACTGTAGTGAAACTCACGCGTATTAGATTATCAAAGAGACATAAACCTTTGCAGCTGGTTGGTCGGATTAGGATGATGCTCCGCCAACTTAGTTACACTGATCTATTTATGTAACAATCTGAGATAATTGTGAAAGACACATTCTTTCTCGGAGGCCAGATTTCGACGCGAACATGGGGCTCCATTATAACGTGAGAGTAAGACGAAGTATCTCCACAACTGCGTTTGATTTTTGTTCAAATCACAAAGTATCCATTTGTCTAATATTTTTTATGTCATTAGTTTGAACAGGTCTTCTATTTTTACCTGAGTGCTAATATTTGTGCACTTTAAGATGGGTTAATTTCTATTAGAGCTCTCAGATCTTCGTTATTTACTTTTGCAGAAGTCTTTAACGAGATTCATTTTTGGAATTCGAAATTTTCCTTTCCGAAGATTATTGAACGATGTACTAATATTATAACCTTTACTGTATAGAGGGCCAATGCGGTAAACTGTCTTTACCACTGCAGCTTCAAGATAGATGAAGCTGATATTCGTAAACCGTTTGAAATTTCTGATCTTTAATGGTTTGTTACAACCCGCCTGCTAAAAGCCGGCGTGTTAACATTTGTTTGTAATTTGTAAAAAATTAAGCGCGTCTCTATCGCAAAAATAAGTATCGTAAAATGTCGTACCGTTACAAGATAGCGCTCTCGTGCAAGGTGAAATTAAGCTTTGACACGTTTAACAGCAAATCATTTTAAGAAAAAATCTATTAAACAACTATTTTTTTTAAATTTCAGGTGCTTTATTTGTTTCAAAAGCACATTTAGGATTTTAAATAATTTCTATTAGTTCTTCATAGAGCATTACTGTTAGGAAAAATTTACGCGAAGATTTTGTCCGATACACATAGCAGCCATCGGAACCCACCGGTGGAGTGTTGCATAATTGTATAATTACGCGGGTAAACTCGCTCTTCTGAGTTCACTTGACTTTATAAGCCAAATCAAGTGAATGCAAAACTAAACTCTACCGTTTCCAATGTTGTTACTTTAGAGACTATTTGGAATCGGTGAAGACATCGTCACAGACTTTACGCGTTATTCTTGAAGGTCTCGAGGGTAAACGACGCGAACGCGAATGGGTACGCCATCGCAGTGAGGGTGACATCGATGAAGTCAAACTTGTCGAAGCTGCTGCGGGCGAAAACAATGTTTTCAAACGCCGAATGTCGCCTCAAGATTTTAGCCGAGGGATACAGGTAAGGTAGAAAATAGCTTTTCTGTAGCAAAACGAACTTTGTTATAACGCTAACTTTCTGACGCTGGCAAAGACACTCAGGTGATTTACCGTTGTTTCGTCGATATATCTACAATAATGATCATCATTAATAAATCTATTGACAAGTTATATAGATGTAATGATTCCAGAAGGAGAATGCGCTGGTACGTTGGTAGGGCAAGTCCTACAACGACTTCTCATTGCAATTCGGGCGTAACTGTACGATATGTGCCTTCTATGATGTTGTATGGATATCTATGATTACACAACAAATCTGTCTTTAGCACTTAGATACGAATAGATAATACTTTATAATAGGAAAAGCCGAAACGGTTAAGTCTGCTTGTCGACGTTAGCGGATCAATGTATCGTTTTAATGGCTACGATGGACGACTGCAGCGAGAAATGGAGGCCGTAATCCTGCTTATGGATGCTCTTCATGGATTTCAACATAAGATACAGGTTGGCATTTTTAGCGTTCTACACAATTTATAGCCAAACTACATAGGCATCGTAACTGTTACAAATGTCCTTGCAGTAAATTAAACCTCTAGCAATAACGGACATTAATAAAGGCAGATAGCTGCATAGTGATGCCATGACTGTTTCCTTTTTTTTTACTTTATCCTACGACATGCATTCCTTTGAAAAATTGTTTGTCCAGTACGAGATTCGTGGACACAGCGGTGAAGCGTCTAATATTCCGCTGGTAAAAAGCGGTGAGCCGCCAGCAGACGAACGTGGACGACTCGAGGTTCTAAAAAAGATGTACGCGCACGCCCAGTATTGTCTCTCGGGCGATTTCACGTTGCAGGTACTATTTACGGCCTTAACATAGAACAATGTGGCTCATTATAGATTCACGGTTGTGTAAATGTGACCTCAACCTCGGATCCAGTATTTCTTTTATTTTTAATCTTTTTTACACACAGAACATAGTGGGCCTCAGTATATATGGCCACGTGCACACGATATTACAACATTTATGACAAATCAATGTCAAAATTAGCGCTATACGAATAATGAACTTTTTATACAACCCTTGTTCGATCGGTTAGTAGGTCTACTTAGATCGGAGTTAATGTCCGGGGTAACGTGTCCCACATCCACGGCGTTTTATTTCAATAGCCGATAGTTGAGGTTGTAGCAATCTCTCGCGGCGGCTGCAGTTATCATTAAGGTAGGCAGGAAAGAAGTAATAAAGCAAATAAGACTAAAAGACTCATTCACAGTATCGTTTATATATTAATTAATAGGCAGTGCAGCAAGCTGTCGCCGAGATGAGTAACTGTGACGACTTCGATGAGAACTGCGTGATTCTGCTTAGTGATGCTAACCTCGAGCGTTACGGGATTTCTGCCCGGCTATTGGCAAAGGCAATGACGGCACGTCAACCGCTTGTTCAAGTCTATGCCGTTCTTATAGGGTCTCTCGGTGCCCAGGCTCACGCGTAAGTGACACTCGTTCAAAGCAGGCCATATCTAATAAAACTATAAATCACTACTTAATCCAGTAAATGGCCTGGTGCGGTACCTATTAGTTATTTCATTAAATGAAGCGACAATGAGATGAATACGCACTTATTAAGTGTTACTGTTGTATCGTTTTCCTTTTGTTCTGCTTTTTTTTTGGTCGGAAAAAAAGGTATAGAAATTTCTATATGATTCCGGTTCTTTTTTACTGGCACTAGTAATATTAATTGATGCTAGTGCCAGTGCTACTCTTGTGAGCTTAACGATTTGTATTCATTTTCACTGCATCTGTTAAATGTATTGTCTTGTTTGCAGACTAAAAAGAGAGCTACCACCCGGCCACGGATTTATTTGTATGGAAACAAGGGAGCTGCCGCAGATCATCAAACAAATTTTTACAGCAAAGCTCATCTCGTAATCGTGTTAGCATGAACCGCTTTACATTCCTATTCCATATACTTCATGTAAACATATGGGAAATTATCTTTATATAAAACGCAAGGAACGTTTTAACAGAAGTACAAGTAGTGTTCGGAGCAACGAATGGGAAAAAATAAAAATGAATCGTTATGAACTCGATGGAGATTTATGAATGTTAACTGCATTAGTATCCTTGATGAGGCTGTCAATGTCGTCACTAGAAATTTCCCATTAGTTTGTAGCATTTACTTCCAACCCGTTAAACGTCCCTAATCTCATACGCCAGTGTTTCTTCTTGTGCTATATGTACGTGTTGTTGTAGTGGGTAATGGAGGTAAATGTTGCCTCTGTTTCATCTTAGAGTGAATTCCCGTTTTTGTTTTTGATAAAAACACATTACGAATTTCGAGCGCGTAAAAGTTTAATGCTTAGGCAAAAAAAGGGCAGTAAATTGCCCCGGAAGTTAAATGTCGCTTCATTATATTGCAGAAAGGCTGTGAACGAACCTAGGTTACGAACTCTGCCTAGTTTGCAACAGCAGTTGGGAAACCTTGAGAATGCCTTATTGAGCTAACAGATTGGGAAGCCGATGTTGCTCCCGCGTAATCGTATTTAGTAGGGCATAGTGAAGTTGCTCGTGTACTCTGTACGACTCGCATTTCATTGAGCGGACCTGTCGAACGATGGGTAGCAACGGGTATTAACATCTAACACATACATAGGTATATAATGCAAACGCGACCCTTATTTCCATGTCTGTGCTATAACTTTTGTTTCGCCTCTTTACAACTCTTTGAAATAGGCCTCAATATTTTTATGTGGCTTGCTGATCAAGGCCTGAACAAAAAAAAAAAAAAGAAGAAAAAACAAATAATTCGCTCTTCAAAAGCAGAATAAACGAGATCATTGGTTTCAACTTATTGCATAACTGATTCTATCGATTGGTAAAACGTTCCTTTTTAAAAGTTGCTTTATTTTTTATTAATCGCTAACTAATTAGGGTTAAGCTATCGATTCGATTTACAAAGTTAATTGTTACGCTAGGTAATTACTTAGTTGTGTCACAGTTTTTTGTACGACTCGATTAGAAATAAACTTTAAAGAGAGATCTTCGTTTACCTGTTGAAAATTCACTCTATAGTAATATTTAATAGAACACTGATTACCGCTGTACCCTACTCCGTGATGCCGCTATCTTTGTCAGACGTTCTAGCCACTATATCCGCGCATTTCCGGTAGATTGTAAGTTGATCACGAACCATAGCAGAATATGAAAAGTATAATTCTTCTATTCGGTTCTTGTAGCGCGCATATTCACCGTAAATATCACCTTCTGGACCTGTAACTCTTTATTCAGACACGTCAAGGTCAAACGTGTGTGTACACATAAATGGAAAATGTCTGGCAATGGAGCTAGGCTAAATTGAGCTTCGCACGTCTGCTGGATTAACTGGACATTTTAAATCAATTAAAAAAATAAATGATCTAATTTCGGTCTTCGTCAGTGGTAGGGTTAAGCGATATCAATCTCGATGATGGAAACATTGTAAAAACTGTTACTCTAAAGTACACATTTACCAGGTCCCGTATGACCATGATGTTGTCGGTGTCTTTAGGTAACGCTCTACTGTTATTGTTTGTACCGTTTGTTGATGTGATGTGCACTGTTTTTCTGTTGTCGTGGTCACATCGGTTACCCTTGCCTGGGAGTTGTGCGAAGCAAATGGAACATTCGAACAGCTAACTTCACCTAAAGTTATTCGATGAAGAAGGGTAAGGTACAATTTTGATTTTGTATTAGCGGGGACGATACTTACGGGGATTACTTACGGGGACGAATTACTTCCATATAAGTCATATTTCTGATTCATGCATGGATATTTTTTAAATGTGTGTGTAAGATACCTTAGGTAAGTCGTATATATTTATAAGGATTGGTGAAGATCGGGTATACTATGTAGGTATACTGAGTCTTTCTTCATTTGAACGTGGAACATTCTGTATTATATGATAAGTGACTCTTTGACAAATGAACTATAACTTTATCACTTAAAATTATAGGCGGAGTATATAACAGCTCGGGTCCCAAAAATAAGAATAATAGTATTAGACTATGATCACTAGCTAGGCGGTCGTCTAAAAGCACCAACGCCACGCAAATACCCATAAGTTACTAGCAATGTTCCGGTTATACTATGTGACAAATCTGCCTAGTTAGTTATTATAGCTAGAATAATACTTATGAGAATTGTTTCAAAGCGTAGAAGCTAGACATTTCTCTCTATGCTTTTTAAATGAAATACAGTTACGATAACTTTAGTATGGCTATTGATAGTCTTTCTGTTCATTCCGTATAGTTATTAAGCCCTACCAACCTCTGGTAAAAGCACTGCCTATTTGCTTGAGTAGATTCATCAATGCGACGCAATTAGTAACAGGTTGACGGCTTATCTTGGTAAGAACCTTCAGCAACGAAACGTTTCAGGCGAGCCCAAACTGCCACCGAGTGAGGTCGAGAACCCTACAATCATGTCTGACCTAGATTTTCTTATCCGTAAAATGGCGTCCCTGAACGTTTCGGACGACTTTGGCAGCAATTGCCGAGTCTGGCCACAATTTGCAAATTCTAAGCAGGCAACGCAGAATGCCGGAGACAGTGAAATTCACTCACTCGCTAATTACCTGAAAGTACAGGGTAAATTTACCGGTGCTCCCGAGAAGTACTCGAGCACAGACGACTTCCCTGACGATGATGAATTTCTCGATGCGCAAGAGTATTTTATGCCTGAAAGTACCCATCTAAATGAACTGAATAAACAGAAATGTGCCTCTATTCGGACCGGTGCTACGAATGGATGTGCACTTTCAATAAAGCCGCACTGCCTATCAGAGACTGCGCCGGCGAAACATATCGTTTCGACGAATAGTTGCGACTCGTCAATAGAAGATCGGCCTTTTTTGGTTTCCAGCGTTGACCGACCGGTAGTCTGGCCACGATCTCTCAGTGAAAGGCTTCGACAGAGAGCGTGTGCTTCAGCAAACCGATCTGACCCAAAATCTTCATTAAAAAGTGGGCAAGTGCAACTCATAAAAAGATATATGCAAAAGAACGATTATTCTGTTGATGGACAAAAATGTGTGCCTGTTAATGGAAATGGTATGGATGACCGCCGTTCCGTAGAAGGGAACCGCGATGAAATAGAATCTCACCGGACCAGTCGCGTAAACAGCCATTACATTTATGCGCTTTGTCAGACACTGACCCAATCAAATAATCGTGATCGGAAATCAGGACTAGCACACGCCCAACAGTATGGTCTAGCAAAGACAAATACGTGTTGTGAAGCGTGCGCCTTAGAGGTTTATACGCAGTCACTGACCGAAGATGTGAACGAGTTCGGCTTTCCCGCCAAACAACGAAAACAGCCGTATACCCTACTTAGGCAGTCGCTTGTGTCAAAGCATTATGTAAAAGACGACGATCCGTTTCTGCTATGCACTTTTGGCTCAGAGGACGAATATGTAGAAACAATTTCCATTGACGAAGATGTGACGCCAAACCCAGATGCGGCGGATGAATCAATTGAGGAGCTTGGGGACGTAGACCCAGGAGAAACGCAAGGTAAATTTTAAATAGGAAGCGGCTCAGTTGTACGTTTTTTTTTCTGTCCCTACAATTTGAAGGTTTTTACGTTGCCATATTTGATTTTTTTGATATCGAAGGTTTATCGGAAAACCTTCTTAGTAAAACAGCGTTTTCAGGTGTTATCTTGTGTTGATTATAACTATACCAATAGTTCAGAAGGTTTTAGGCAAATAGATTCTATATCAAATTATTGACCAAATTCGAGTTTTAGTACAATTATTCAAACAGGTGCGACATGTTTGTAGTGCTTCTTACGCCTTTTTTCCTTACAGAGCCATCAGGCGCGATGATCGCAGATTTCGCTTTGTGGAGTCGGATCGTTGGCCTGGGCGAGAAACAATTTGCTGACAATGTTCTTGAACAAGGAGGTCCCTTAGCTATGGGCGGCTGGTATGAAGCTGTTGTGTTGCGCATTTTCCCGCGGGCGTCTGGTGGCCATGTGCGGACGCTGGTTCAAGTTGCCTGTCAGAAAGACAATGTAAAAAGCACGATTTTGAGGAAAATCCGTGATACGAGTAAGTTTAGGTTCATTAGTGCCAAAACGATGCGTTGTCGAAATCGACTAGCGTATGTCAATCTGTCTGGGATGCAACCCTATGACCGAGGCTACCAGTGGGTGCGGATTCGTTGCGACGGGCTGGAAGAGACCTTCTCATCATCGAACGAAGTTCTATCGGTTCTCGTCGATCATGGTTAGTTTATCGCACATCGGTAATCTGGAAGTATATTGCGTGATGTTACCGGGCCTGTTACTTAGAAAATGTATGCTATCTTTTCTACAGCCTGTCCGTAAGTAAAACTATTCTAATGCACTACTTACTACCGAAACAAAAGTCTAAGAACGATAAAAAGTAGTATATGCTCGAGATAATTTATGCTTTTTTGGTATCAGGCACCCAAGTTCTTCTAAATGCATTTCGTTTGCATTTCGCCTCTATCCATATATCCCTTGCCAACTCAGCAACTTTGCACAAAAAAAAATATACTTTCCGACGATTTGGGAAAATCGCACCTTTTTTTCTCATTAAAATTAAATGCTCTAGTGGAGATATTATTTGTACTGCATTGTCGTAGGAACTGTACCTATTCCTTTTAAATAGAGACTGAAAAAATATTTCCTATATCTTAAAATTATATTATTGAAGTACGTATGCACAGTCTTGATCAATGACGTTCTGCCATCTTTCTGCCACATTATAATCCCATTATTGTAGAACGCCTGTGGTTTCTGCGAGGAAAACTGTGACGATTGATTTTTGCATACCTCTATTAAAACTAAATGAACACAAATTCATGGGAGTTGTGCGGAAATAGTTTATACTTTAATGTTGCAGCATTCGGGCTATACGGCAGGCGCATTTTCGAGTTCTCTCAATTTTTGTCGGGTAGCTGATGTGTGCGGTATTGCATTGTCATAGCGGAAGACGACGCTTTTTCTATGCACTAGGTTAGGTCGCTTTTTTTAATAGCTTGTATTAGTTGTTGACAATGCAGGTTCGAATCAATCATTCTGTCAGGCGTCCGCAGAAATTCATGTTGTACGATTTCTTTCCAATTTTACCAAACACATAGCATCACCTTATTTGGCATTGGTCTGGATGCTTTTCCGCAGGTTGTGGAGGACATTTTTATCATTTGCACATTTTTGTTGCGTGTGATCTATTTCTCATCACCCGTTTTTCATCAACCGCTTTAGAAATAACTCGATATCTGTAGAATTTCGCAGATGGAAAGACAATAAGGTATATCTTTTGCATCAACTCGTGTGGCACCCAAAAATCGAGCTTTTGTTTGTAACCAACTTGCTCTAAATGGTTTAAAACTGTACTAGATATTTTGTTCTTTGACAATATTATGGCTAGCCGCTTTTGTAGTAATTCTATCAATTTCTTTCGTAATTGGTTAACCAAGACGAAGAGTATGTTCCACACCGAAATTTCCAGAACAAGAGCGGAAGAATCACATTTGGACTGTGTCCTCCGACCACGTATCTTAACCATAGGCAGCACAATTTATTTGGCTCTGGGCCACATTTGCGCTTTTATCGTAATATAGAATCGTAATCGAACACAGAAAAGTTTGGCAAAAAAATTAACTTGTTTTCAAGACGCTTTATCTTGAGTCTCAATAAAGTCATTCCAACAATCTCCAGCGTATTTCTACTCAGCCAGTCCCAGCTTTCAAACGGCGTTAACGTTAAGCCAATACGATCTTTTTTTACCTACGTGAGACGTGTGTCTTTAATACCATCTATCTAAAAAAACGGGCAATACCTTTTCGACAACCCAATACACACTATTATTATTAGCATATAACAATATAATGTGACCATCTATAGCAATTTAATACGCGACATAACCTTCAGCCACTTAAATTGTAGTCTTTTCAGTCCCGTAAACAGATACACGCAACATTAGCATCATGGCCAGCTAATGGTAAACGATATACTTACAAATTTCAGGTATTGTCATAAAACTACCGACATCGCGGACGTTCGTCTGCCCCAATGAATTAATTGCCCTGCCAGTTGCTACCGCTGGCGTATCTTTTCCCCCCGAAACTTCGCTAAAAGAAGGTCAATGGTTGCTGATACGGCCAACTCAGCAATTTAAGCGTGACGGTTTCCTGCCAGTCGAAATCTGGCAGAAGGACAACAGGTCAATTGCTTGTTCCTGAAGTAACACATTTCAGTATGGTATCGAGAAACCCTTTGATGTTGTAGCAAATGATGGGGATTGTTTTCGGAAAGAACGATCACTCGAACACCATACAAATTGCCATTAACAAAAGTAAGCAGCGCAGACAGATTTTGTGTTCTATGAATAGGTCAGGACAAGCGAATGACTAACTGAATAGGCATTAGTTAATGTGACGAACCGAAAAGCCCGTTCATTCCCTGTCCTGCCAATGAACGTCTGTCAGTGCTACATATGTAATATCACACTGCACTATGTACTACTCGAGCTGAACGCTTTATCACGAAATATCTGGAAAATAGTTTGACTTCGGTATTTCCAGTTTCGGTATTTTTTTGTACTCATACAACTACGACTCAATAGAATTCGGCTCTTGCCATCACTGGAAAGGCGGCCACTTTATACATTATAAACATCAATTCCAACGGAACTCAAGCTTTCTGTAAGAAAATTATTCTAGTTCGCACTGTTTGCTATTGTGACGAATGTGCAGTTGTAACTTAATTAGTAACTTCCATTTTATGGCATTAGTGTTTATATGCCAATTTGTTATCTGTACCACAACTATCTACAGAGCCCATAAACACGGCGAACTGTGCACATAATACGATCGTTTGAAGTTTTAATATAAGAATACCATAAACGGGATCAACAAAAGATCCACTTTTATATATATAGGGGCGTTTTTGCCAGCGAAAAATATTAAGTCCGGCAAAAAATATTTAACTATATCCAAAATCGGACTAGTTATATAAAAAATACATGTTTTTTTCACTAGTGAACTCAACACTAGTGAACATTAAAGTTTAATTCTTCTTCGCACATTGTCACACCTTCCGTACTCTGATACCTCATAAAGAGGCGGAACGCGTTTCATGAAACAGAAGAATAATCCGTACAATAAATAATATTTACAAAGCCACGCTAGAAATACAAATTCGAGCAAAGACGCTTTCTTTGATAAAATCATTCGTTGGGTAAAAGTAGCCCCTGATTTATTTTATCCATAGCAACGCAGTACCTTGTAAGTCAATTTATAAATGCAAGAACTTGTGCCAGCGCAAAAACCACTTGTCAACGGAGTTTGCCTTAAAAGAGCAGAATGCACACACGTGCGATACGAATTAATCCTTGCTTATTTAAATTTAATAATATTCTTCACGTGTTTATATATCTAATAACTGTTAAATGTCTGTACTTCACGCTAAGCCGTAGGAAAAATAGCGTCTGAAAATAAAGGATGTTTGATTGTCCAAGTACCAGATTGCAATTTTTGTAAAAAGCATAAAGGTAGTGAATAATCTACATTTCTAGGTTAAGTTAATAGATGATACTTTAGAATTTGTTTGGTTTCAGTAATTAGTTATTTAATTTTCATTATTAGGCATTCCATCAAGCAATCGGTTAAATCTGATATTCCACTTGCCCATTCTATACCAAGATATTCTGGACTACATATGTATAAAGCAGAACGTTATAAAATTGTACCTTCGAATTTAAGCAGCTTGCTCTTCTGCATGATGTGTCTTGGTTGTAGGTTACTTTTAAGGCAGTTAAGGAACCCAAAAAAAAATGGGGTGATGAATCGGTGCTATTTATTTGTTCGCCAAATGCTGAAATATGTAATACAAAAGGGTGCGATTGACGTCTGCAGAATTTTCGAACGTCTGCCACGAGGTGTTGCTTGACAACTACTCGTTCGGTTGAGAAATCCATTTGAAGATGGTTGAGTGAGGGCTACAAGTCTAAGGAGGGTAACATTTTCTTTATCCTATGATATTTTCAATGGTGAAATGAGATTTGCTATAGCCGACAATAGAAAAGCGAGGTTATCTTCGTCTTTTATGTCCCACTTAAATAAAAGGCTTACAGCGTATTTAAACAAGCGACTGTCATTGCGCATGTGGCTAGGATGTTTAATTAAAAAGAGTTACATCTATACTGTGATCACCGGGTTCACGCTATGAAAACATTTAATCACTCGAATCCCGTGAAGTTCTGTATCTAGATTTTAGCGCGCAGGTCACCCTTGCCTTTCTGGAGGTCTTTTTACTAATGAGGTCATCCCCAGACGTAATGACGAGTGTAGTTCGCATGGTTGCATTCCCACCTGGGAGAATCTATGTGAAATACAACTGAGCTTATATGTCCACTTATGTTACCGAACGAAAGTTGTTAACTTTTTTCAACTTTCCTCGACCCCGTGATAATTCAAGATATTACCGTATTTCTTAGAAACCATGTTGTACAATTTACTCAGTGTATTCGTAAGGCGGAAATTATGAGTATTCACACACTTCGACGATACAGTGCAAGTTTAATTGTATATGAGGTTATATTATACGAGATTACACATTTATATGTTGAATGAGAGAGACCCGAATGGCTGGACTTCCTTTTATAGAGATGTGTTTTTATCAGGAGAAATGTAGGTCTTGTAGGATATAAAGGTCTTGTAAAAAAAAAAACTTTTTTGACTTTCAGATTCTCATTCCTGAACCCTCTACTACCACATACTTTTATTCGACTGTTTCCAAATAAATTCTAAACGAAGCCGAAAAAACTTCTTGGTCGAAACAGCGGTACCCACGCGGTCACATATATTCCTGTGATGTCTGTTAAAATTGGGTAAACGCTATTTTTACATGAATGCCAACTTTCGGGCAGCTAAATCAATATTCTCCCAAAAAATTATTTATTTACTGAGTATTATAACGTTCTCGAGGATTGATCTTGATCTTTAAGGCACTCCGTATATTCTTTTCTTACAAGAAATACCTATATCCGTTTTTAAATAATACTATATGCTAACGCCTACAGCATTCCTCTGGTGCGTGGTCCCGCCCAAATTCAAAGGCTACTAGAACCCTATGCAAATTGATCGTATTAAAATGTCATTTTCGTCGTCACGTTACGGCGGTCTGATTCCTAACGGGACTTCTCTAGGCCAGCTTTTTTGATTCCTCCAAAACCTTAAATTATACCCCTCATACTATAATTATTCTGCTTTGAAGTCGACTTGGAATTGTCTCAAATTGCTTTGTAAACGGTCGTCTTACCTTTAATTTTGGGATTTGCCGGACCACCACTCTGAGTGGCATTTACCCGTAGGAAGCGTTTTCTTTCTCTTTTACATGGATGTAAGTAAATTTTCTTTTGCGTAGAGTGACTTTACCTTCTAACACGCCAACTGTGGAAATTGAGTTACTGAGTGCTAGGAAATGGCGTATATGCTATGCTATCTCGCCAGAAAAATAAATATAAAGACGTTGGCCAAGCGGAAAGTAAGTAAAGTCGGAAATTCAGTAGAAAGTATTTCTCAGTCACGTTTAGTCAATTTGTACACGTTAATTTCTTAAAAAATCTCTGTTCTTAAAAATTAATTCGTTTCATTGTCACTGGGCCTCGAATCTCTTCAATTGAGTTTTATCGATTTTCGTATTTTAGGAGTGATAGAGGTACGTTAATACTTAGTTATATTTTAAGGTAGTCGCCTCTTAGTTAATTGTCAATAAACATACGAGTCGAATCGAATGGAAAAAGTTGATATATTCTCTCACATTCTAGTACAAAGTATTCAAAGTTTATTCACCAGCTTTCTCTCCACCAGAACGTCTAAGGGTAACCTGCATTTATGGAATTAATTCAGTTCTACCCACTTCTTAGTCGTACTCAGTTTTTATAGTGATATAT